TTATTGAAAGATATGAATTTAGTGCCATTGTGTTACCTGTAAAGCTGCTGTTTCTGGTGATGCTCTCTGTTCCTTTCTAGTCTGTTGCTTTTGGTATTTCTTTCCCACTCAAAGAGTCTCCTTTAATATTTCTTGCAGGGCTGGTTTAGTGGTCATGAAGTCCTTTAGTTTTTGTTTGTCTGGGAAACTCTTTGTCTCAGTTTCCATTCTGAATGACAGCCTTGTTGGATAAAGAATCCTTGGCTGCCTATTTTTTCCATCTAGCACGTTGACTATTTCCTGCCACTCCCTCTGACCTGACAGGTTTCTGTGGACAGATCTGCTGCAAGCCTGACCTATCTTCCCTTGTAAGTTAAGGACTTTTTTCCCTTGCTGCTTTCAGGATTCTTTCCTTGTCTGTGCATTTTGTGAATTTGACTATATGATATGTCTAGGTGATGGCTGGCTTTTGTTGAATTTAATGGGAGTTTCCTGTGCTTCTTGGGTTTCGATGCCAGTGATCTTCTCCAGAGTAGGGAAGTTTTCAGTTATGATTTGCTCAGATAAACCTTCTTCCCCCCTTTCTCTCTCTTCTTCTTCTGGGACTCCTATGACATGCATGTTATTACATTTTAAGAAGTCACTGAGTTCTCTAAGTCTACCTTCATTTTACTTTTTAAAACTCTTGCTTTTGTGATTTCAGGCTGAGTCCAGAAATCTTCCTGAAACGCCCCGTGGTTGAAGGAAATCGTTGGAGGTTGGACTGCATTCTTAAACGAAAAGCAGTACGTATTCCAAACCTTGGCTGATGTAATTTTTTCAGTGTTTATTGTTTCTGAAATACCTTTTCTTTTCAAAGCCCTTCATATATAAGCATAGCTTTTTTCTTTAGAGTTTGATAAAAAGTGGAATATTTGTGGTTTTCAAGTTTATTTGTTTCTTTTTTCCTGTTACTCTTGACTGCATAAATATGTTAGCCTAATTCACAGCATGGATTATATCAGGAACTCTAAGTTTTGATTTTTAATCAGTTATAGGCAGTTAATTTTATAGGCAAAAAAACTGTAACAAGATTTTCTCATTGAATAATAAAGTGTGAAATGAAATGTAGCATTTTATTTTTTATTCATTATTCTGCCATTTGATCAAAACACAAAGTCATTAGGAGAATGATTTCATTCAGTTTGGGCCAAGATAATGTAGAAGAATATCAAAAAGAAGGGCAGTAAGAATTGGTGTTGCTTTGGTTCCAGTTTTGAGACAGTTCATGGTAAAAATGTGGAATTGTCTCCTCTCCAGTTGACCCTGTAGATTCTGGGTAAGCATTGAGTGTATTCTTTTTGGTATAAAAAGTAAGTAACTGAAACAGTATAGGCTCATCAATGACTACTTTACATTCTTATTTCTAATGAATGTTTTTATATAGTTGGCTCTCAACCAAGGTAAATTAAGTAAAATTAGAATAGATCTGGATTTGTTATTAAACATGTCCAAATTAGGAAGTGCCAGCTTTTTTTTCTACTATTACTTGAAATTGTCTTAAGCTTTTTTATTCTATCACTTTTTAAATGTTTATTTTTTTTCATTTTTGAGAGAGAGAGAGTGTGTGTGAGAGAGAGTGAGTGCAAGTGGGTAAGCGCAGAGAGAGAGGGAGACACAGAATCCGAAGCAGGCTCCAGGCTCTGAGCCATCAGCACAGAGCCTGACGCGGGGCTCAGACTCACGAACCAGGAGATCATGACCTGAGCCGAAGTCAGACGCTTAAGTGAGCCACGCAGGCACCCCTTTATTATTCTATCATTAAACATTCTAACATAATTTGTAGATCCTGGGTAATTGGGTAAAAACAAGAATTTTTGTTTCTTATAGTTGTGACTCATTTCTTCTTTCCCATTCTCCACGTTCTCTTATTGCTTTCCCCGTTTACCCATCCTCCCTCTTTCAGTGTCTTTCCCCATGCCTTTAAGATTTCTAAAGATAATCCATAGATATAGTCAGACCTCACTAATACTGATGGAAAAAGAAGTTGATAAGCTTTATTTCAGACACATGTTCTGCCAAACAGCATTATTTTCATGGCTAGTCTAATTCATTGCCTCAAAAGAATTCCATTCACAAAATTGGAAATTCTGTCTTCAAAAGCATTATTTGTATGTTCATTAAATAAATAATTCAGCATAAAGTTACTGAGTGTCTCCTAGGAGCCAAGTACTACACTAATTACTAAAGATGCCATGAATGTGAGTAGGACTCCATCCCTGCCCAAGGAAGGCTTGCTGAAGGACTCGTGTCCCAGGTTTAGTCCTAGCCTTATCAAACTTCCTTCTACATATTGAATGAGCTATAGCCTTCTCCACGTTTCTCTCCACGAAACAGCGTTTTTCCCATCTCTCCTCAAGATTCCACTTTAGTTAAGTTGTTCCAGTCTGGCCTAGCAATTGTCAACCATACTAGTAAATCCTCTCTTCATAGTACGTATCCAACACTTTACTGTTGTAGGTTTCAATCAATATGTATTTGTTGAGTGCCTACTATGGGAAGCTCTGGTGGGGAAGTCCCTCACAATATGAGGAATTTAGGGCATTTAGGATGGGCAAAAAAATTTAAATGAAAGGAAGAAGTTTCTAGGTGTAGAAACTGTGGTGAGGAAACATTCCAGAGGCAGGAATTCCCAAGGCTTTGTCAGTCACAGTAAAGTGACAAGGCTAATTACAGCTGAGTGTTAGCGTAAGTACGATGAGGGATCAAGCTGGAAAGGCTGTTGCAGCCAGATGTGGAGGCTTGCGAGCCAAGTCAGTCATTTGGACTTTATGGAAGAAAGTAGGAAGTGACTGGGCAAGGTTCGAGTCTGGTAGAGGAGTCTGGTGATCTGATCAAAATGGTGTATTAGGAAGGTGAGTCTGGCAATGGGAAGAAGTGGAAAGAACTCGGGTTTGATGAGCTAAATTCCAGCTGACTTGAGTGTGAGGTGCCTACAGGACATCTTAGTAAATTCCAGAAAGCTAGCAAATGCCTGAGCAGGGCTTAGGAGAAAGATTCTAAAGATCCTGCAGGCCTGGCCCTCCATGTTGTGTTAGCTCTCATATGTTTGTTTTCCCCCTCATATGTTTGTTTTCCCCTAGGCTACTCTCTAGTTGACTTTTCTTTTTTTTTTTTTAATTTTTTTTTTTAACGTTTTATTTATTTTTGAGACAGGGAGAGACAGAGCATTAACAGGGGAGGGGCAGAGAGAGAGGGAGACACAGAATCTGAAATAGGCTCCAGGCTCTGAGCTGTCAGCACAGAGCCCTGAGCTGTCAGCACAGAGCCCGATGTGGGGCTCGAACTCACGGACCGCGAGATCATGACCTGAGCCGAAGTCGGCCGCTTAACCGACTGAGCCACCCAGGCGCCCCTCTAGTTGACTTTTCTATCACTAGTGTGGGCTTTCTTTGCTTTTATGGCCCATGAACCCCGGTGAGGTCCTAGGTGAACACCATGGCCAAGTAAATACTATTGCCTGATAATGGTGCTTCATTTCAATTCCATCTGCTTTGTGAAACTTGGGATTTTTAAATTGCACGTAATGATTTTAAAAATTTCCTAAGGAGGGGTACCTGGGTGGCTCAGTTGGTTGAGTATCCTACTTGATTTAAGCTCAGGTTATGATCCCAGGGTCATAAGATCGAGCCCTATATCAGTTTTTGAGCTGAGCATAGAGCCTTCTTGGGATTCTCTCCCTCTCCCTCTGGCCCTCTCTCCTGCTCTTGTGCTCGCTCTCTCTCTCTCTCTCTCTCTCTCTCTCTCAAAAAAACAACTTCCTAAGGAAATAGTAATATTATTAAATATTAATTTCTTAGTGGTACATTTGGCAGAATTGCTCTTCCTTAATTTAGCTATACCATATTATTTTGGTCATAAATTTTTAATACCCAGATTATTGTAAATTGTTATTTTCTATGCCTACAAACACTGTCTCACCTAAATTATTTAGTTTCTGAAAGCCTCTACTTTCAGAGTACTGGGTTGAAAAAATAACATTTATTCTTACATTAATGGATCCCAGAGATCCACAAGGTTGATTAAAATAAATACATTTTTTTCTTCTATCTCATTGTGTAGATTTGGGGGGAGGAATTTTGTGTCTCTGCCTCATAGCCAGGATACAGGCAAACATCTCTTACAATGGCTGTTTTTATGGAAGAAATACAGTATTTTGTTTCTCTGGTGATAGCCAAACTGGTAATTTCCTATTTCTTTTGCCTTTTGAATAGCAGTGTTATCATTTAAAATAGCATAAGCCAACCTTGACTTAGATGCTGATTATGGCTCAAGTCAGCATCCCAGGGTTTCCCACAGGTCTGCATGGACTGCCCCAAGAGTTGAAATAAAGTGCATCATAGTTATGGCAACTGTATGCATGTACCCAATGTGTATATTTCAACCTTAGAAATATGATGATTCTTTTTTAAAAATTTTTAATGTTTATTTATTTTTGAGAGAGAAACACACGCACAGAGTGCGAGACAGAGAGGGGGGCAGAGAGAGAGAGAGAGACATAAAATCCGAAGCAAGCTGTAGGCTCTGAGCTGTCAGTACAGAGCCCAACACAGGGCTCAAACTCACAAACGGTGAGATCATGACCTGAGCTGAAGCCAGACGATTAACTAACTGAACCGCCCAGGCACCCTAGGAACATGATATTTCTGATGGGACTTGCACTGAAAAAAATCTTCAAATGCAGCCACCTGGAGACCTACAGAAAAGGGTTTAGGTCCTCAGGGGTGATTTTGTTGTGAGGTAGTTTCTTTCTGTCCTGGACCACAAGCCACATTCTAGAGTTGCAATCAGTAATCATTTGGAAGGAAAAGATGTTCAGGTTTGTCAAATGAGATAATCACATCTCCACACAGGAAAACCAAACGGGATCTTATCAAAGTGGTGGGCTAGAAGGGCATGTGTGGGAAAGGAAAAATAGATCTTCAACCTTGAAGACTATGCTTCAAATAGAACTGGTTCAAAAAAAAAAAAAAAAAAAAAAGACAGGAGCATTTGTGCTTTTTCACATTGCTTACATTGAATGGTGAGGATGTGATCTCCTGTCCTTTATTTTTCATTTTCCCCAAATATTGCACACTCTGCAGAAGTCCTTGACAAATGATAAAGTTGGTGACTATCCTGGGGATGCATAAGTTAAGCTGTCTCGAGGCAGGAGACAAACCTGGCTGCATTTAGAAAATATTTTGACCACAGTATTTTGAGTAATCAGAGAGAAAACAATGGACTCAAAAAAGTCTCTTTGATGTCAACTATAACATTTTTTTACTTTTTGTTGTCTTCACATGTATTTTGTATATGTGAAGTTCCTAAAAAGTCCTACTATGTATACTCTTATGTCTGCTCTACTTGATTCAAAACTAATTAGAAAAGAGGTCAGAACTTTCAACTTTTGAAACTCCGGTTTTACGAAGTTTATTCTGTGTTTATAGTGTGACATGTGTTCCATTAACCTTTGGTTTACGTGACTTCAGCAGAGATGAGAAAGATGACATTGTGTAATCCCCTCCAGGCCATTCATTTTTCTACTTGGCCTATTAATACTTTACTTCCTCCTCTGTAATAAAAAGTAATTTCCCCTAGGGTCATGAAAAGGTATTGGTAAAACATTGGATGCTTCAGATGTGTATTTCTTAAATTACAGAGTTCACATCAGTCCTTTTTTCTTTTCTAATTTGGCTTTCATTTTGCACAGTTATTTCTCACATTTTGTGTAAGGCTGCACTATTATGACCGGGAAAATGCCTTCACTGTCAGGAAACATTTTTCCTTTGCCCTTTGTAGTTTAGGGTTTATGATAGTGTTGTAATACTTTGACCAAAAGAAGAGGAATTTATTGCTTTATGATCACAGAAATCTTGTCACTAATTAACTGTTCATTCTGATACAGATATAAGTAAATAATTGTAAACCAGATTACCTAAAATGAACTGTTTTCTTACTTCCTTATTAGTCTTTTGTATATAAGCTAAAAAGACTTAAAAGTCTCTACCCTATTTCCTTTGGAGTTAATTTATTTCAATGAGAAAAGACAAAATATAGAAGAAAATGTAAGGTATTAATAAATGGAGGGTAATAATGTAATCCATTAGTGTTAACATCTCTATTATTTCAAAAAGCCATTAGTTATGCAGGTCAGTAGAAAACTGTAAGAATCAGGCCAGGGTCTGGAACTAGAAGGTAGTATGCTAAGCAAAATTAGAGAAAGACAAATATCATATGACTTCACTCATATGATGACTTTAAGAGACAAAACAGATGAACATAGGGGAAGGGAAGCAAAAATAATATAAAAACAGGGAGGGAGACAAAACATAAGAGACTCTTAAGTATGGAGAACAAACAGAGGGTTACTGGAGGGGTTGTGGGAGGGGGGATGGGCTAAATGGGTAAGGGGCATAAAAGAATCTACTCGTAAAATCATTGTTGCACTATATACTAACTTGGATGTAAATTAAAAAATAAATTAATTAAAAAATAAATAAATAAATAAATAAGAAAAAAAAAAAGAATCAGGCCAGGGTCTAAATTGCAACTACTATCCTTCAAGAATGGTAATTTCATAAGCTGAAGAAGCACAATTTCATTCATTTAAAATAAACGTGACGAAAGATGTCAGGTATAATGTTTTATAATTTGGGTTGCAATTTTGGGTTTTAGACTTTATACTATATCTTTAAATGGGAGGCTATTTTGTGTTACTGTTATTCAGTACCGAATCCTAAAATACCCAAATAGCAGAGTGTATATGAACACTAGAGGGAAAAAATAATGTTCTAGTTTGCATTTAGAGCTCTCCACCAGTGGTTCATTGCAGAGCACTAAGTGACTGAACTATTAGAAGCTAATCTGTTCATGTCTTGCCTACACTTTCACTTCCTTATTTCTTTAGCTGGTCTGTCCTTATGCACTTGGTTGCAGTAATAGTTGCATAATTTTAATTACTAATAAGAAAATTCCAAAAGTCAGCTATTAACCAGAGAAATAGGATGACATATATTTTTTTTTTATCCTATTTTTTTTTCAGGGTCAGAATGCATTTTACTTTTCACATTCAAATTTAAATTTTAGTTAACATACTCTGCAATATTGGTTTCAGGAGTAGAATTTAGTGATTCTTCACTTACATACAATACCCAGTCTCATTACTACAGGTGCCTTCCTTAATATCCATCGCCCATTTGACTTTCCTTAATGCAGCTCAGAACATATATTTAAGTATATTCCTCCAAAAATGTATGCACTTTTCAGATGTTACACCAAGAAATATAGAGTGTAAGTATTTTGAAATTTTTTTGAATGCTTATTTATTTGAGAGAGAGAGAGAGAGAGAGAGAGAGAG